TTCCAGTACTATGTTGAATAGGAGTAGTGATAAGGGACATCCTTGTCTTGTGCCTGATTTTAAGGTAAAGGCAATCAGTTTTTAGCCATTTAATATGATGCTGGCTGTTGGTTTGTCATAGATGGCCTTTATCATATTGAGGTAAAGACCATCTATTCCAATTTTGTGTAAGGTTCCTATCATGAATGAATGTTGGACCTTATCAAAAGCTTTTTCTGCATCTATAGAAATGATCATGTGATTCTTACTTTTGGCTTTATTGATATGGTGGATTACAATTGTTGATTTATGTATGTTGAACCATCCCTGCATGAATGGGATGAACCGCTTTCAATGCACTCCACAGATTCTGGTAAGTTGTATTTGTATTTTTGTTTGCTTGTAGGTATTGTTTAATTTCTTAATTTCCCCTGTGACCCACTGATTGCTTAAGAGTGTATTATTCAATTTCCATGTGTTTGTGAGGTTTTTGCATTTCTTTTACCATTAATTTCTAGTTTCATGGAGCTGTAATCTGATAACATGTATGGGATAATTTCAACTCTTTTGCACTTATTTAAATATGTTCTGTGGGCTAGCATATGGTCTGTTTTAGAGAATGTCCCATGTACTGCTGAGAAGAATGTATATTCTGATATTGTTGGATGGAAACACTCTGTATATGTCTATCAAGAACATTTGTTCAAGGTGTGGTTCAATTGTTATTTCTTTGCTGATTTTTCTGTCTGGTTGATCTGTCCCTTGATGTCAATGGTGTGTTAAGGTCTCCTGTTATAATTGTGTTATTGCTTATTTGATTTTTCATTTCTATTAATACTTGCTTTGTATAACTGGGTGCTCTGGAATTTGGTGCATATGCAATTTGACATTGTTATCTTTTCCTCTTGAAGTTTTCCCCTAACCAGTGTGTAGTGACCTTCTTTATCTCTTAGGATCATTCTTGCTTTGAAGTTCACATTGTCTGCAAACAGAATAGCTACTCCTGCTTTTTTTTTTTTTTCCAGTTCCTGTTGCATGAAGTATTGTTTTCCATCCTTTGACTTTCAGCCTATGAGTATCCTTTTGGGTTAGATGGGTTTTTTTGTAGACAGCATATGGTTCGATGTTGTTCCTTGATCCATTCTGGACAGTCTGTTTCTTTTAATTGGTGAATTGAGACCACTTACATTAATGGTTATAAATGTTATATATTGGTTTGTTGTTGACATGTTATCTTTCTGCTGTTGCATCTTTATCTTTCTGTTCTGTTTAGTTATCTGCCTTGCTTAGTGGTTTTTTCCTATATGTATCTAAACTGTCTTTCAGTATTCTTTGCAGGGTTGGCTTGGTGATCATGAAGTTCTTCATCTGTTCTTTGTCATGGAAGTATCTTATTTCTCCATCCATTGTGAAGGATGGTTTTGCAGGGTACATTATTCTAGCTTGGAAATCATTTTCCTTTGGAAATACTTTACTCCATGCTCTTCTTGACTTCATTTTTTTGTGTTGAGAAGTCTGCTGTGATTCTGACAGGTTTTCCTTTATAGGTGATCTGTCTTTTCTCTCTAACAGCTTTTAATACTCTATTCTTATGTTGGATTTCTGGGATGGTAATTATTATATGTCTGGCTGTAGTTTTATTTTGGTTATGGCTATTTGGAGTTCTATTTGCTTCACTAATCCTAATGTCGGTTTCCATTCTCATGTTTTAGAATTTTTCAGCTATTACTTGTATAAATAGTCTCTTCATACCATTTGTGTTGCCATCTTTTTCATTTATACCTATCAATCTTATGTTGTTTTTGTTTGAATCATTTTACAGCTGTTGAATTATTTCCTGATTCCTTGTTTTTTTCAAATGATCTTTCCTTTCATGTTCACTAGCTGCAATCTCATCTTCAGGGTCTGAAATTCTATCTTCACTTTTGTTGAGGCAGTTTTGACAACTTTCAATGGAATTTTTGATTACCTGTGTATCTTTTTGAATCTGCTTCATGTATTGTTTGTTCCTTATATTGTTCATCCACGGATTCTTTTTGTTTTGTTCCTCTAATTTTTTAATTGTGTCTTCTGTATATGTGTTCAGCATCTCTTTCATTACTTTAGTCATTTCTTCTTTTACCCGGGAGATTATTTCTTGTTTGAATTCCTTTAAAGCTTCCTGGAGTTGCTTCTTTATTTCAGTTGCTATTATTTCAGGTATTTCCAGTGTATGGCATATATTTTCTTCTATGTTCATGTCTCCTAGGCCTTCTTGGGATGGGCTGGAGGCTTGAGATTCCATTTTGCTCTTTTGTTTTGTCATTTTCCTATATTTCCATGTTTCAAGTGTTGTTCCAAGGCTTCCCCTGGGCGTGTTGGAAATTGTCTCCTGTGCCTTGGCCTCCTGGAACTGAACGGAGGTTGCTGAGCATGGTCTAGTCAGGCCCACAGGACCTCCTGCCACCTCCAGTGTTCCAGGAAGCTGGACAGGTACCTAACCACTGTGGATGAAGGTCCAAAGCTCTCCCTGGGCTAGGACCAATGCGCTGAACTCACTTTATGTGCCCTCAACTCCCCTGATTGAAGAAGATGGCTGGATGTGATCTAGTAGGGCTGCAAACCCTCCCAAGCCTAGTGTAGTGTGGCTGGAAGCTGGGCAGGTCCTTGACCACTGGGAATAAAGATCTTAAACACTCACAGAGCTTGGGATGGTATGCAGGAGCTCACCTCCTGCAGCAGCTCAGTTCCCCTGATTGAAAGGTCACTGGGCATGGCCCAGGCAGGCCCAATACCTTCAGAGCCCAGTGTAGTGTGGCTGCAAGCTGGGCAGGTCCTTGACCACTGGGAGCGATGATCTTAAACTCTCCCGGGCCTCAGCATGGTGTGCAGGAACTCACCTCTTCCAGCAGCAGTGGAATCAATCCCTTTTTCACGAGATAATAAATTCTAGAGGAGCCTTTGGATTAGGGCCTTTGTTCCATGTATCCTCACCTGGACTGGACTCAGGACCCCTGGGCTACCTGTAACTTTGAATATATCTTCATGTCTTTATTCCAGCTGTGGGCTGCACTGGAGATGGTAGACTAGAATTAACTCACCAGGATTCCAAAATGTTTCAATGGGATTACAAATAAATTTCTCCAGGCAGAGGAGGATGAGAAAAGGGATTACAGTATTACAAGGAATTACAGTATACAATTTGGGGGTGACAATACTCCAAGCCCAATTAAAATCCCTCAGTAGCTTCCCATTGATCTTTAAATAAATCTCTAAAATACCAAAATCTCTAATGTGACTTAATGACATTTCAGTCATTTATGCGTAGTAAACATTCCCTTGTGGGCACAACTGTGCACTCTGACTGAAATGCTTTGCTTCTACCTAACTCCAACTGCTAATCATGTTCTCAGCTGAGTATCAACTGAGTTGAAAATCTACATTTACGTGTGTGATTATTTGGTGTCTGTTTTCCCCACTAGACTGTAAGGTCTGTATGTCTCTTTTTGGTCACCAGTAGCCTAGTTTGTTTTTGTAGTATGTGTTTTAAAGTAGGCTCTTAATATTAGCTGAACATACTTCTAGGTACACTCTGCAAAAGTCAGGCCTTGGTACAAAATACTACAATTGTATTTATATGAACTGTCGGGAAAAGACACATCTATTCAAATAGCAAGTGGATTAGCAACTGGCAGTGGCTGAGGGTGAGGGCAGGACTGGCTGTATAACTGGCATGGGAGATTTTACTGAGGTGATGAAAATGTTCTAAAACTGCACAACTCACTGAATTTACTAGAGCTCGTTTTACTTTTGTTTTTATTTTTGTTTTGTTTTATTTTCTTGAGACAGGGTCTTACTATGTAGTTCAGATTGAATTTGGCTTATGTGGCCCTGGCTGGCCTCAAACTTACTGCGATCCTTCTACCTCAGTCTCCCAAGTGCTGGGGTTCCAGATGTGCACTATCATGCCCAGCCTAAAATTCACTGTAAATGGGTGTATTTTAGGATATATCCTCCAGGATTTACATCTAATATCTCAATAAAGTTAATTTTAAATTAATAATTATTACTGGAAATGTAAGGTTTATCTTATGCTAAGTGTGTTTATATGTTTTTGGACTTTGTGTTCTATACTATTCACCATGTGTACTTACTCAATTACTGTTCATGAATATATGGTAAGTATTACAACTTTAGTCATTAGAATATTATTTTCAAGCTGGGTGTGGTGGCACACGTCTGCAATCTCAGCACTTAGGAGGCTGAGGCAGTAGGACTGCTGCCAATTCAAGGCCAGCCTGGGCTACTTTTTGAGTAAGAAATAGTATGCGGTGCAGCCCTTGTGACACAAGCCACCTGAAATTAGATTTAGGATTTCTAGCAAGGAATGAGTGTCCTGGATACATAAGGATATTTGTAATTTGAACTAGGAATTTTGTGGCTGGATTCACTCTGATTTCAGGAATAAGGTGAAATGCTAGGATAGGAAAGGTTTTAAAAGTAATCTGAATTTTTTCGATTAACAACTTTAAGTACAATTGTCCCCAGCTGTCCAGCTGCCTTCCTCATAGTCCTCATGAGCCCCTGTGTGACCCTGGCTGCGTCAGAGGCAGACCTGCTCTGGGTCTGAGGACACTGTTGCAAGCAAGGATTTGGACGAAGCAGCAGCGAGGCGTGGGGTGAACAAGACAAGGGATGGGAACACCTAGCAGAGTAGCTCCCCGGGTGGCTGTGAACTTAGAGCCTTGAGAATGAGCCTGAGAACTGTTACTAGGTGGACTGGACTGCAGCTGAGTGACTGCTACTCACTGTGGGTGAGCAGTGGCTCTGGAGTCACTGATTCTACTTCTGCTCCTGCGGGGGCTTCCAGGACTCATAAAGCCTGGTAGCAAAAAGGCAGGTCTGGGACCTCCTGGGTAAGGGACTCAGTCTCATTTGCAGCTGAGCAGAAATCAGAGGCATCCTAGGCTCTGGAACTCAGGGCCATGTCTATTGAGCATTTTTCAAATGACACTGTAGAAAAATGGACACCATTCCCAGTGTACTTTTGTATAAAGTTGTTTTTTATTAGTGAAACATTTCATTGTGTTAAGGGTAGAAGTAAAACAGGTCAAGAGTCACATGAAAGGAATCAACTGTACAAGCTGCATGGAGAGCACTCTGGTCAGTGTTCTCTTTCATAGCACAAGCAGTTTACTCCAGTAATCGTGCGCAGAGGGCCAAGGATGAGGATAGCCTTTTGCAGAATTCATCTCTTAAGCAATTTAAATGAAAAACTAGCCTCCCTTAAGTAAAAACCCCAATAGGGGTCAGTCATGTAGTACTTGTTCCACTTTGACCATTAATGATCTTTCTAGAACAAAAAAGCCTGGAGCTAAAAGTGGCAAAGCCTATCTCCTGCCCTGTGCTCAAGTCCCAGTTTGCCCTGGCTGCCATTCTGTGACTGCTGACCACCCTGACAATAACAGCACATTTGGGTGGCTTCTAGGATAAAGGCTGCGAGAGAATGCACCTGAGGAAAATCTGGCTTTCTAAACCTAAAACCAAACAAGCGAATTCATTCTTCTTAACCAACCTGGAATTCTCACTACAATGCATGGGCTTGCCACAGACTTTTCAGAAGGGAATACCAAATGTAGTTTTCACCAGTAAGTAAGAATAATGATGTAAATATGGAATTAGTGTTGGGTCTTCTTGCCTTCATGGGACTCAATCTAAATGTGCACCTGATTAGTTGGTTATCACTCAGAGCAGGGGTAGCAAACCTGTGACATACGTGCTGCCGCTGGCTGTTTGTATCACTGAAAGCTCTGAAAGGTTCACCATTACTGACTTAAGAGTATTTAAAAATCTCCTCCTCACAGATGATTACATCTCAAAGTAGGACTGAGCCAGTGCACATTCTCTGCCTGGCATATCCTTATATTGATGAGGACTGGTATATGCATTAGGAATAGATATGCCAGTTGTTAAGTTAAATATGAATAAACCCTAGCCTATGTACTTGGAAGTATTGAAGTGGTTTTTAATTTAGACATTTTGGCATATCTAAAAACTTGGTATAAAAAGCTTTCAGCTTGATTTATAGAAATGTTGAGAGTTTAATACACCGCCCCTTCCAAAGGGAGACATAATACACTGCTTTGGTATAGCAATAGGAAAACTGGGCATGTAAATGATGTATTACCTCTGTAAAGGAAGAAGGAGTTATTAAAAGATATCTATAGTTGTCTTTCACTGAAAACCAGTTGTTTTTTTCAATCTCTTGGAATGACTGAGTTGGCAAATTTTATAAGCTCTTCATCAGGTAACTGTGTAGGCCTTTTAGTTACAATCAGTGTGGAACTTTGAGAATCAAAGGATGCGCCCTTCACTCTGGCTGAATTCCAAACTCGGTGATGTAACAGTGGTTTCCTATTCTTTTGCCTTTGGTTGCACTGCTTTAGATTTCAAGAGATTTTTTTCTTTAAATTACTTTCTGTGCAGTATCTTAAACACTCGCCATTCAGAAAAATGATTGTCACAGGAAGTGTAAGGTACATTTTTTTCAGTGACAGTGAACCACAAAACACTGGAAAGAATTGAGTCTCAGGAAAGAACTTACACATACAGTTTCAAAGTTATCAAGAAGACTGCCCCAGAAATGTCTGTCTGCTCTAGACTTCCTGAAATGTGTGTGTAAATTGGATTATGAATGAATGGATTTCCAATAGTCATAATTTTACAAATAACCAATAGTAATGTATTAATATGGATCTTATTTGACAGGGGTGACTAGGAAAAAATTACTGATTACATTCTCTCAGAAAATCTTACATATCAAAATAATTTTAACTAAAAAATAACTATCTACAAGTGTCATAACTAGCATTTAGTTCTACCTTTTATGAAATGTCTATACTTATCCTCACCAACATTATTTACACCTTCTCTTGGTTCACAAAAATACAACTCAAAAATCCCATAGTGCCTGTCACTGTCCACTCACGGATACCATCTTTCTCTGTCCCTTCTCTGCCTGATTCCTACCCGGCATAAAACTAGTCAGAAGACCAAGGGATTTTCTTGGAGAAATTATAAATTGAAGATTAGCATGAAATGCAGTGTGTAACATTTTAAAAGAAGAAATCAGTTGCATTTGACTCCTGTACTCGGGAAGTTTACCAATTTTACCCTGGGTTCCAACTGTTAACCTCTGTTTAGGGAGAAAATGAGGACTACGATATAAAGTACATGTGTACCTGGAGCACAAAACTTGGGGAATAAAGTATACTGACTAAGGTTAGACCAAAGAGCATTAACAAGTGATGCAAGGACACATTGACAGCAGTGGTTACAGACTTCCATAATCACCAGAACCCAGCACCCTCCCCCAAAAATTACTATACAAGAATTTATTAAATACGCCATAGACACATGAAAAAACAATCTCAGAAACCACACGACCTTAGAAAGCATAATGGCCAGCCGTGTCAGCCTGCCCGTTACCCCCTGGCCAGAATGCTCCTCTCATGGCCTGCTGGCTCTGTGTCTTCTTCCCTCCTTGTAACACGTACACAGCCTGTGAGGACATGGGCCCCGTGTCATGGTCCAGGTCAGAACACATGCTGCTTCACTGAGGGGAGTGATGGTTAAGTTCTTATGAGCGGTGCTCGTTCATCTGCTGTTCCCTGAGACACAGGACAGAGAAAGAGGAGGATGTTAGGTCTCATCAGAAACTATTCTCCCCCACCACCCCGCTGTGAAATAGGAGTGTGTGTGGAGGAAGGCAGAGAAAGGAGCTGATAGGAAAGAGGTTCATCCCACTCACCTCTCCTCTCAGCCTGCTGCTTACTCTTTAAGATTAGGCCTAACTTTAAGGAGCCCTTGCCTGGCCATTCCCACCCAATGCCAAGCACAGCCCTCCTCTATGTTGGTCCAAACTTTAAATTTGTTATACTCCACTGACTTCGCCTCCTACCAAGAAGAGTATCTCAAAAGTCCCAGGTGTTTGTTGATAGATGAAGATTGTTGACTGTAGGAATGGTAATAAACATTTCCAGGAAGTTTCATTTGTACTTAGTTTTTTGTTTCACAGTACAGGCACTGTACCTAGGGTCTCTGCATTGAGCTATATCCCCATCCTTTTTTCTTTTTTTTTAGAGGCAGTCTCATTAAGTCACCAAGTTGCCCCTGCGGGGCTCAGACTTGCATTCCTTCTGCCTCAGCCTTCCAGAGTGCTGGAATTTACAGATGTGTGCACCCCCTCTAGTTTCAGTTGTCGTGAAAATATCAATGGCTGCACAAATTCAGACTGAAAGAGTCACAGGGAGAAATGGTAAAACAGTTTGCCTCGTGGCTAAGTCAAGTTAAGGAGACTGGACAGGTTAAAAGCATCATGTAAAAATGTAGAAGGTAGATATACCAAGCTAACATTATTCATATGATTTCAACCTAGTTTGTTTCCTCCTTTACATTTGCTCAGACATTTAGGTAAGAGGGGACAGTAAGTTTAAAAAAAAAAATGCATGTTGTAAGGAGGGGAACTGCTGAGCATATGAGCAGGGTTTCTACAGAAAAGGCTCTTTATCCAGCCTCCTGGCCACACTAACTATTCATTGCTCCAGGAAATCACTGCCCCTATGCACCAATCTCCTACTCTGCAGTGGTGCCTCAAGTGTGGGATCTTCTGATTCCTTCTAAACAGGTCTCTGAGTGCCTTGCTCTGTAATACTGGAGCTATTTTATCATATTTAATAATTAAGTTTATTGAGCTCATACTGTACATTAACACTTGGCCAAACCCTTTATGTTTTCTACATCATCTAATCCTCACCAGAAACTCACAAAGCAGCCCCTATTACTCCATTTTATAAATGGGGAAACTGAGGTACAGCTTCTAGGGTCACATAGCTGGGCAGTGGCAGAACACATTTGAATCCAGGCATATGACAACAAAGCCCAGCAGTTTGTTGTTACACATTCATCCTCTTCTTTCAGGTTATTGTTTTTAGAGATATAAAGGTAACTCCCACGGGATACATCCAGAGATTCCATTCCCACCAAGAAAACCACAAATACTGCAGGCATCCTTCTGTCACCGTGCCTTCCTAACACACCCTACTGTAACATACATAGCACCTTGCTTACCATTTGTGCAGCAGTGATAGAACCATGAAAGCACTGTGACCCATAAAATCCCAGAATCCATCCTAAACAGCCACTAGACAATGCTTTAAAGAAGTAGCTGAGGAAGACATGGAGGAAGGGACAAGTTCCTCCAGCCAGCACTCACCTCATCCATCGATCCCTGTCCTCGGCATGCAAGCCAGGTAAACATCAAACCGAAGAACACACCCAGTGCCATGATGATGTAGGGTATATTGGTGACAATCAGAGTAGTGTTAATCACAGACTTTAGTCGACTCGCAGTCTCTTTATCAATGAGAACACTCTAGAGAAGCAAGAACATGGTGACTAATAGCATATCACAGTTTTTTGTCTTTCTTTCCATCAAATGTAATTTATGTCCTCTTGTTAGTAAGCTAGATATACTTTTATAAATTAAATAGGGAATTTGTCATCTTTTCTACTGAAGATATGTATTACTTAACACAGACTAGAAAAGAGGAAAAGGGTATTCAGAAATGCTAAGATAAACTAGGCATAGTGGTGCAGGCCTGTAAGCCTACTACTTGGGAGGCTGAGGCAGAGGATCATTGCAAATTCAAGACCAGCCTGGGCTACAAAGTGAGCTCAAGGACAGCCTGAAAGTGTGACCCTGTCTCAAAAAGAAAAAAAAAAGCTGATATAATCTCTTTCGTCTCAAAACAAAATCTAGCTCAGCATTACTTTCTTCCACAAGTTTCCTCTGGCAGCCTTAGGACTGATGAAAGGTCGGATCACTACATCTCCTCCTCATTCTCTAGAATACTCCTTGCTGTCTCGGCACTGTGTGTCAAAACTATCTGATTACTTGTTTGTCTCCCAGTGACTATGAGGTCCTTGAATGCAAAATATCTCAGTCATCTCCCTTAGGGTATAACACCAAGCATGCAGTATGCACTCAATTAGTACTTGCTGATTACATGAATCAATGAAACACTCACAAAGATGGAAAGTAGAATGGATCATTTCTCTCTTGGTCCTATCTATAGCCATCAGGACCAGATGTCACCAGAAAGTGTTTGGTTTCAGAGGGTTGCTTGCTAAGGAAACATACTAGAGTAACACTTGTCAGTATGCAAGAGAGGGGTACTATCACCTAGTGTCACGGTGATATATCTGTCCCCCTTAATTCTATAAAAATTATGGGCAACAATTCTGGGTTAATTTAGGCTTAATTTGCAACAGACTGAGTTAGGAGATCAGGTTCTGTGGTAGTTCTTTCAATAACTGAGTCAGAATTTCATCTCTATAAAAAGGTGTTGGGACAGTAGTCTCCAAGGTCACTTCCAGGTTTTACATTTCATTTTTCTAGACAAGGGAATAATCAGTTTGAGGTTTCACTCCTCCCTGGATTCAATCTAGCCTTTAGCAAAAACAAAGCAAGTTAGGCATAGAGAGAACTTCAAGAATGTCACTACTATGAATTTAAACTTGGAGAAGAGTCCTGCATTCTTAAAAAGTCCTATTTCCATGTCCTTTCCCACAAACAATAACATGGGTGGACCTGGAGCAATCCCAGTAAACATTACCTGAATTTTCCTTTCGTTGGTAAATACTGCCTGAATTTTTCCTTTGAATAAAGTCTCATCTTAGAATTCTAATCACAGACCCTTTAAAAATATATAAATGTAGCCACCAATATAATGATAAATACAAGGGGGTGAGGAGACATAAAACTTCCACCTATGGTATAATTTTAATTATGTAATTTAACCTAAAAGAATTCCAGAACCCTCAGACATAGGCTTATCAATGATTTACTTTGTAAATAATATACTTACCTTTTTTTAAAAAAGAGTTCTATAAAAGGCACAAGTTTTACAAAATGTAAAACAGTAAATTTTTTAAAAAATTATTATTGAAAAAAATTTTACAACACAGTAAAAATATATATATTGGCTTTAGGTTATGTGAACAGTGGCTTTTAATATTTTCTTACTAATCTGTTACTAAATTTTCTACAAATGACAAGTACTTTTAGGAAAGAGAAAAATAAAAAAGTTTTAAAATGTTGGTGCTAATAAAAGAAGTATGCCAACTGAGAATTTATCAAAACGGGGCAGAAGAGAAGAGGAAAATGGGGCAATACAACTGCAGGGATTCTGAAATGTAATTTAGCACAGAATTTATCACAGTTGTCTTAAACTGGCCGGGTTTCAGAGAAGCAGACAGAGCCAGGCTTCACTGGGCATCTGGCGGCGTGCTGGCTCTGTCCTCCTTCCACAGACCTTGACAGTGCTTTATTCACGGTGCTTTCGCCTCTCACATAACCAGCTGCCTAGGAGGGAGTTGTATCCAACTAATGTTCTCAAGAAGGAAACTTTCTTGCATTTCTCCAAATCAACTCCCAAATAGAGCAGTTTCATGTAATCATTTAAGAAAAACTTTCTGAGGACAAACAGTACTTTTTTTTTTTTTTTTTTTTTTTTTTTGTCTTTTTCATTTTTATCGGTACCGGGGATCGAACTCACGACCGCCTGCTTGCAAGGTAGGTGCTTACGCCGCTGAGCTAAATCCCCAGCCCCTGACAAACAGTACTTAAAAAATCATTTTCTACCCTTCTTCCTGTCTTTCATTGCATAACGTTTCAATAGTAGACATCATAATAGAAGCATTCCACATTTGAACAGCTACAACACATGTGCAGCTCCCTCCCACCGAGGACTTACCTCATTGAGATACATCACTGGGAAAACCATGGTTTGAATGTCTCCTGTTTCACTACAAAGACAAAGGATGACATGACTTTAGAGACATCCTTATCATGGTGGCACATTTACCTGGAGAGACATATTTAGATGAACACTCCAATATACTTATTTCATTCAATTACCTGGTATTTTAGCAGCCTTCCTCGTTTTCTTTGCACACACATATAAGGCAGAAGTTAGATACAAGTGTGTCAGCCTCAAAAGTCCAGTGCATGTATACTCAGTGTTTATCAAAACAAAATTTATGAAGACAAACTTCACCAAGTGATTTCTTTCCTAGAATCATCACAGGAAGACTCACCTAGTGAAACAATGCTTCTGCAATTGCTCAGGAAGTTTGTAACTTAGCCACTTAATGATGGTATTCCAACAAAAGCCAGCTGAGTCCTTGTCATATATTTAGCTCTGTTCTGAGTGCTTTGGGGACACCATTTTATTCAGTTTTTACACCAGTCTTGTGCAGTAAGTGTCATTACTGTCCCACATTTACAGGTAAGAAAATTACAACTCAAGAGAGGTCAGATAGTTTGGCCAGGATCACAAGTGAGTCATGGATCCAGGGTTACAATTCAATTTGGGTTCCAAGGTTCCAGTTTCCTACTAAATTCTACCACTTCAGAAATACAAACACAAGTCATAGAATGCTTCTTGAAAATTACATTTACTTTTCAGAACTATGGCATTTGTCATTAAATTTAATGAATTCAACAGAGAAGAGATTCAAGATTGATAGACAGTACTGTTATGTGTAGATCCAAAATATCACCCAAAAGTCTCAAGTTCAGAGGTGGGGTTTCTGGAAGGTGACTGGATTAAGAGGGTGCTATGCTCATCAGTGGATTAATGTGCTGTCAGGATTGGGCGTCCAACTGGAGAAGGTGAGTAACTGGGGGCATGCCTTTGGAGGGCGCAGGACGCTCTCCTTCATGGATGCCATGGGCTGAGTAATTTTCCTCTCTCATCTCCTTCCATATGCTCTCTAGGCCCTGAAGCCAGCCTACCATGGGCTGAGCTCTCTAAAAACTGTGAAGCAAAATAAATCTCTTATCCTTTAAGTTATGGGTGTTAGGTATTCTTTTCCAGGTACTGAAAAGCTGACTGATACAGTATGTATATGCTCCATCCTATTTTTTCACTCATATTTTATCATAAGCATTTCTTTCATATCCCCCCAAAACTTCCCACTGAAACGGAGCTTGCTCTTAAGAATTTGCATGAAGAAGTAGTTTATAGAGGCACAGGCCAGACTCCAGGAGAGCTTGTGGTGGGCCCCCAGCAGGAGAAGAGTGGGTAGAAAGATTGAAATCAGTCATGTGGGTGAGGGAAATGCCCAGTGGAGTAGATAAACGCAGAATCTATCCATAGCCTTACGAACTGTGAGTTCTAGCAAGTTATTTAAGCTCCCTCTGCACTGGTTTCCTCATCTATAAAGTGAGGATAATACAAAGCTGTAAGTTCATGCATGCAATGTACTTAAAGCAATGTCTGATGCATGGAAAGTACCTAGTAAGTGTTTGATTAAATAAAATCAGCAAATTCCTAGACCAAGACACCCACGAAAACATGATCATGCATCACTCCTTAAGGGTCAGGGTGAGCAGTTAGAAGTAAACTAAAGCAGCCCCACCATAGAGTCATGTAGTAAAACCAATCTCTGCTGTTGTAAAAAGAAGCAAAACTTACATAAAGTCATCTAACTTGTGGACATAAATGTTGATTTGGAACCTCTTTGCTGCTCTTAGGATAATTCCGGTCAACTGCAAATCAGAAATGAGAAGAAAATGTCAAGATTAAACAGAACACCATTTCTGTGGCTCTGATGAACACAGCAGCCATTATGTGTCTGAGAGACAGAGAAGTACAAGGGAAAACTGACCCCCAGAACAAAATGAGAAACTGACAAGAGCAGTAAGACAAATATGGGTCCTTGGGGTTCTAAATCCAAGTTCTGGTAACAAGTGCCCACTTTGCATAGAGAGCCCAAGAGGACTCCAGGCTCAGGAGGAGAGCATGCCAGGGTCAGACATACAAGCGGCTGTCTAGAGTTCAGAAGGGGGCACAGTTCCTATCAGGAATGATGTCCATATCTAGGGCCACCAAATAGAGCCCATGAAAAGCAACTACTGCACTAGTCTTTCCAAGCCCACCTTTACTCTGAGATGCAGGATTATGATTTCTCCTAGGTAACAGACTGACCGGCTAAGAAGGAAATAAGCAGAGAATACAGTGCTAACAGAATATTTTCTCCTTCCTTTATTGTTCCATGGTGTTCAAAGTTCCAAAAACTAAGATATCTAAGACCTATAATTTAGCTTCTACAGTAACAGACTCTCACACAGTGAATCAATATTCCTACCATGTTAAGGTGGTTGTACTGGTTTTGTATGAATTCAGGCCTGGTATGTCCTCATTCTATCCTTTTTAAATTAGTAATATCAGTAATATTTTAAAGTAATATTTTAAAATATTAGTAATATTTAAAAGAGTTTTACAAGTTTTTACTTGTAAAAAGAAGTGTGCTAAAAGTGACTTAAGCTAATGCACACACTTAAATTAAGCCAAAATATTCCTGGCAGTTGGTAAACAGTGCAATCTTCATTCTTCCTGATCCATGTCTCAGTCAGAGAAAGAAATCTCTGTTCAAGTCCAAAGCTGGCCACAGAAGACTGAGCAGCTTACTTGGCTCCAGTCTCAGGTGTTTCCAATGACTAAATTTTCACTGTTGCTGTTTGTTTGTTTAAAGCAAGTTTGCTGGTGCCTCTGCATATTAGATCCACAGAATTCAGGTTTCTAATTCAGGGCTGTAAGACTGGGCCTCAGGTTGCTCTGAGCTACTTTTCCCCCTACATGTAAAGAAGACAGTGTGTTTCTTAAGGGCTAAAGGCTAAATTAGTATACATTGCAAATACAGAGTAAAACGTGCTTGCTTTTCAGGAAGACGTGTATACTCACAGGATTAATGTCCACAAAAGTCTCATGATCCTCCTTATTTGGATGCAAGCCTCGTATGGCAGAAATAAACTTTTCATCTGCTTGGTAAAAGTGTGGGAAAGACATAATAATGGGTGCACCTGCATTTGAAGGGAAATAGAAATTAATGATGCTGTTTTTAAAATCTGGATAAATATAAAATTCCTGACCATAAACTTAGCTCCTAAAGTAGAGTCGAAAGCCTTAGCTAAGTAAACAGGGGGAGGTGGGCAGCTCAAACATCTTTCCAGGCCTCCTACTTCAAGATTTACACTTTATTTTCTGCCATCTCATGTACTCACATTATTTTGTTACACATTTATATTGAAGTCCAGACTAAATTACTTCGTTTTCAACAAACATTTCCTGAAACTATTAAGTCTACATTAATGCTCTGACAGTCTTATGAAATTAGAACTTTTAGCCTCATTTTGCACTGGAAGAAGCTGAAGTTCACAAAGTGACATCATTTGCCCAGAGATGAGTAGCTGTCAGGTTAGGGAGGCAGCTAATCAAATGAAGCCAGCCCACTTCCATTCCAATTATTCCAATTACAATTAGCCTTCGTTCCAATTACAGTTCTCTACTTGTTAATGGATTTTTTTTCTCTTAACCAAACATGGACCTTGTTCTGGATGTGCTGACACCAAAGCTTTTTACGAGTTTGTCTAGTTGTGCTGTTTGCTTAGCCAGTGACCAAATGATGGTCTGCCCATCTGAAGAGCCAGGGGTTCCCCCCCCCCCCCGCTTTTCTATTCATTTCAAAAGCCAAATGAGAAAACATTATTAAAATCAATCTATTCTAGATTTGGAAGTTGAAAAATTGGAGAATGACTGAATCACAGCTAAAAGGAAAATATATATTTGGGGAACTTAGCCTATTGTCAAATAATTTAAATTATTACAACAGCCAGAGATTTAGCTCAGCGGTATAAGTGCCTTCCTGGCAAGCTGGAGGTCATGAGTTCTATCCCTGGTACCAAAATAAATAAATACAACAATTATTATAACAAATTATAATAATTTGTTTACATTTCTACCAGCCCATGGCTCAAGGTGTGCATCATCTCTGACACAGCATTTTGCTGTTTCCTGCTAAACAGTTCAACAAAACCACAATTTCCTTTTTTGTTGACTTACAGTGACTGTTTAAATATATATTTAAATAGATATTGAGGTTTGGGCAAGAGCCAGACACTGGCCCAATGATGCTACATACATCATTTCTAACCCTCCTGCGACCTTCCAAGAAGTTATAATCATCCCCATTTTGTTGATGTGAAATGGCCATGTGGAACCCTCCTTAACTGATGTGTCCAAGTGGCTAAAGAACAGAATGGGCAGGCCTCAAACCCGAGCTTCCCGGCTCCAGAACACTCCCACTACTAGGTGTTCCCTGGAGAACTGGAAACAATGGAGGATAACCCTCAATTTTTCAGCCACAATTTGAAGATACATAAGAAGAAAGAGGAAAAGACTTTAGCCACAAGTCTATGTGTTGCACAACAAAATCTTCCTGTTGGCTCTGGCATCAACTTTTCAAGGAAGAAGAATATTGCCAAAACAGGGGAAAAATGTGTCTACATTCATGTTTAACCTGGGTGGAGAGGAAGGGGTGGCCCCCATATACTTCTAGGCAAGGGATACTGTGTTCCTGTGTGCCATCTCCAGACACCTAAGCACCACCTTCACAAAAATCACTGGGGACACTAGTTAAATGGATAGATTCTGGAGGCCTAGGACATATATTTTTAATAGCTCTTCAGATAATTCTGATGTGGGGCCAGGTTTAGGGTCTATTGCCTTGTCAGACAACTATAAGGAAGTCTGTTGACCTCAGACTTATCCTGAAAGGAGATTTTAATGGTGTTTTCTTTTTTTTTTTTCTTTTTTTCTTTTAGAATAGGAGGGCTACAGGGTGTCACTATGTAGTTCAGGCTGGCCCTGAACTCACTATGTGGCCCAGGATGGCCCTGAGCTTGCAGTCTCCAGAGTACTGAGATTACAGGCATGCATCCCACGCCCAGCTCTGAAAGAAGATTTTAAAGCCAATTGCAGTTATTTTATTCAGGATAGAGGGGTTACAAAGAGGAAAGTTTCTACCAGGAAGCTTCAGAGAAAAATTACATCCTAACAAGGGAATCAGTACAAATACGAGAAGACCAAGTCCTAACAAAGATTTTCTTAGAAGTAATGGTTTTATAAAAAGCATATTCCCTGAGCCTTGGTTTCTACAATTATAAGGCAAAGATATGGAACATCAATACAGTAGGCTATCGTGAATAATTCTGAAACCTGTGACTGGGAAAACTAGTCCTCAAAGAGACATCATGGTTCCATGGCCTCACTGATAAGTCTGTCTCAATCAGGAAGAGAAGCAGAATTCAGATATTAAAAAATGCTGGGAAATCTGTCCCAGCTGGTCAGGATTTAAAACTAATTCTGCTTCAAAATATTGAGAATCTTTGTCCAAAAAAGGTACTTTCTTCAAACCAAGTTGTCTAGTGTCTCTTTCAGCATTGTTTGGAACCTGCCTCAGTTAATGCTGTACATGACTTAACAGTGGCCCAGTAAATATAAGCCATTGTTATAAGGAAGGCTCCTACACTACTGCCCAGAAAAAAATACCACATGGCATTCTAAAATTAGAGCATCATAGAAAACCAATAACTATTTTAATCATTCCATAGCCACATAACAAGATATTCTTCTGAAAGGTCAGAATCATTCTTGCACTCCAAACCTCATCCCAGCCCCTCTCTGGCTCTTACCATTCTTGCAGATGCTGACATTCAGCACTCCGGAGCCCAGGCAGTTGCCATCAGGGAGACAGAAACCAGCATTTTCCGATGTATTGGCTAATATTTCTGCAGGCACCTTATACCGAAAGGCGGGCAACCCCTCTATACTCTCATAGTCACTGAAAGTTATATACACAGACCTGGCAGGATGTAAGGAGAAAAAGTCAGTGTGGACTGCAGGCAGCATTTGTCAGGACATGTCCCTGTGATGAAGTGACACACAACTGTACTGTGATACCCCTGTCCCCAAATGAAAGGTTTTTATGTTTTCCCCAGTTCCTCAGATGTTCAGGGTCAACATTATCCTGCCTGTGGTCCTTACTGAGTTTTAGGTGCAGTTCCAATTTTTACCACTGGTCCCTTAACACTTGCACAGCGCTGGGCAGAGAGAACACTGTACACTGCTTCATGAAAGATCTTCCAGCTCTTCACTTGGAGAGGGAGAGGGAAGCGGGACACTTTCCTTGGCTTTACTTCTTCTCCCTCTCTCTGTGTTTCTATCTCTGTGTCTGTGTCTGTCTGTCTCTCTCTCTCACTTTCAGAAATATTGGGGATCAAACCCACAGGCCCCCTATTTTTAAGATACATCCCCAGCCCTTTCTAGTATTCACCTTGAGACAGGGTCTCAGTGGGTTACCAGGCTGGCCTCCTCCCAAGGAGCTGGGGTTGCAGGTATACACCACTGCACACGGTTTTTGGGGTACAAAGCAGTGTGGATGTGTCTCTCACAGGATTATGATTGATGTGAGAGTTGCCTTCCACTGTACATTCTACCCATGACATTTATTAAGGAGATACTTCAATCAAAACAGAAAATACTATAATAAACACACTGCTATATATAATGCTCTTGGTCTCATTCTTCTCTGCCTGCCCTCAGGAAATTGCTCTTGGAAATGTGGGGTTTCTTAGCCTAGGCAGCTCTTTATACTTCTACTGATATGTGTGTTCACTAACAATATGTGTCAATATTTGTGATTTTAAAAGGCTATAAACAGTATACCATATTCTCTGTGATTTACGTCTTCAACATATTTTGAAGTTTTATTACATTAAAGTATATAGCTCTGGTTCTACAAAATCTTATATAATATTCTGTCACATGAGTACATCATAATTTACTTATTCTCTCTCTCCCCTCTTCTTTCTCTGTCTGTTTCTGTCTCTGTCTCTTTTATTCAGGGTGGCCTAAAAGCCCAGGTTGACCTAGAACCTGAACCTACTGAGTTAAATCCCAACTCTTTTCTAGTTTTTAGAGACAAGGTCTCATTAAGTTCCCCAAACTGGCCTCAAACTTATGATCCTCCTGTCTCAGGCTCTCAAGTACCTGGAATTACAGTCATGCACCACCACATCTGACTGTGTTTGTCCTTTTTCTATATAAACACAAGCTGATTCTGGTTTTTCACTATAACAAACCAAGGGGTCTAAAAAGGCCTAAAGGGGACCCAGTGCAGTTTCTGAGGGAAGCCACAGGCTTGGTGCCCAAATAAACACAAGCAGTAGAGAGCACGCCGGTTTCTGGCATGGCTGTTGGCTAGGCAAAATGAATGTGAGAGACAGGATTCCCTGATGGGAAGCAGTGTGTAGGGTGATTAGGTCCCTCCACCTGCCTCACAGGAGCGGGTGGGCAGAAAGACAGGGCTGCAGCTGGGCCCTGGTCCATGCAGTATGAGCTGAAGGCAGGAGAGGAGGTCTTTTCACAGGAGACTTCCCATGGCTACTGCAGGAGGGAGACAAGGAACATGGGCAAGGGGGCAGCAGCTAAGCAAGTAGCATGCGCTTGGGAACATGGGAAGTCGCATTCATTTATCCTGCAGGGCAGGAGTTAGAAGCCTGGAAAAAGGCCACTCACAGTTCACCTTTGATGAGCACATCACACCAACTCCGGAGTAATACCCTGCACTGTGGACAGTAACTCACCTGGCCTCATGACAAACCCAAAAGTAGGTAACTATTCCTAATCTTATCATGTAACCTGAAAGATGAGGCACCCAATGGTTAAAACTTGTCCATGTTCACATAGTTGTTAAGTGGTGGGGCTGAGCCAAACCAGCACTCAGGCCCAGGTCAGTGCCAGGACCTCTGCACAGGCTGCCTGCAAGTGTCTCAGCCTGCAGCATGCCGCGTGGACAGTCACGCCTGCCGAGCATGCTTGTGATCTGCAGAGCCTGGCAGTCTTGTGGTCCTGGACTTTCTTCCTTAGGAAGAATGCGTTCTTATAGTTCTTACCTGCAAAAGTCAGAGGGGAAGACATAAAGGACTTCATCTTTGGTTATTAGTGGGTGAAAAGAATCTCCATCTGTTCCATTAATCATGTTGCACTTGTCTGTTGCCCACCAGTCAAGTGACCTATAATTGATAAAACACAAGGAAAAGTAAAGGTCAAGTTGGACTTCAGGTTCCCTTAAATGGTGTGAGGACTTTTTTTTTTTTTTGTCTTTTTGAGACAGGGTCTCACTATGCAGTGAAGGCTGGCCTTGAACTCACTTTGTAGCTCATACTGACCTCGAACTCACAATAATCCTCTTGCCTCAGCCTCCCAAGTACTGGAATTACAGGCATGTGCCACCATGCCCAGCTGTATGAGGACATTTTTTCAGTGTGGCTGGAGCTGGCCACTCACACATCTTATTTATAACATGTACCGAGTGCTAGAGTTGATACAAGTGGAGAAAAAGGAGGCCCCTGGGTCCAAGTCAATTTTTTTTTTTACAATACTAGGGCTTGTATATCCCCAGGTCTTCCTCACATGCGCACACACACACATTTTTCTTCTTTTATTTTTTTTGAGGGGGGGGGGTTGAGGCAGGTCTCACGAGGTTGCCCAAGCTGGCCTTGAACTTGAGATCCCCTTCCTCAGCCTCTGGAACAGCTATGATTTAAGGTGTGTGCCATCGTACCCACCATAACCAGGTATTTTTAAAAACACCCCTCACTTAGGATTTGCCCGGCATTTCCCTTTTGGTTGAGGGGCACAGGCTGTAAACAGATGAGGTAACTGTGTCCCGGTCAGCCCCTCATCACCAGAGCAGACACCCAAGTCATTCGATTGCCTGGTCAAGCCCGTGTTCCCAGTTTCCACACCATGCAGTAACTCCGCTCCCTCCTCTCCACACATGTGGTGTGTTTACTGACACACACATGTTCAGACACGTTTAAAACAGCTATTTCTTAACAGGCAAGGGTCCAAATTTTGCCTATTACCTTGCTAATTCTTGAAGAGAGGTTTTTTATGTTATTTTCCCAACCAGCCAGAAGACTAATACTGAAGAAAAGCTGATGGGAAAAGTCAGTCATGAATTCCCTGGATTTTCCAGAACCTACCTTTGAAACAGAAAGAAATGCACCTCACAGTATTAGCTCAGTTGTCTTTTAGAAATAGTAGAAATGGCTACATGAAAAATACGTTTCTATTACCTATAAAAATGCTGCAAAGCTGAATGAAGCAGCATTTCCTGTTATCCGGCACTTTGGGAGACTGAGGCAGGAGAACCACAAGTTTGAGCCTGGCCTGGGCAACATGGCAAGACTTCGTGAGACCCTTTCTCAAAATGAAAAATAAAAAAGGCTGGGGATGTAGCCAATACCAAGGCCCTGAGTTTGATCTTGACTCCTTAAAAAAAGAAGACTGTGCTTATGTGTATGTACCGGTTCTCCACAATGAGTGTATTCATTATACACCCCAAACATACTAATAAAAATATATAAACATTTAAAATGCTGATTTTTTTTCATGACGTTGCCCAAAGTTTCTCTTACAAAAGATGCACATAATGAATATCTCTCAGAATTTGAAGCCAAAATGCAGTCACTTTCTCTTGAAATAATTTATTTAATACAATGTAAAATCACACTGTATCCCTTTGCCTCTGCAGCTGTGAAGCCTAGAAGTAAACTGTCCAGGGGCAGAAGCCCTCGTACTCCAGGCTCTGAAGAGTCGGCCTTCTTTCCCCTCAAAAAGCTCTTGTTCATCTGACTTTAAATTAAAAATCTTTTTTTCTGACTTTTAAAAAAAAGTCTTGTTTTATTGTAATCTGCCTTTGCTCATTTTAGTAAGGTTGGATAGAAGAAATAAAAGACAATAAAAAAGGAGACAAATAATCATAACTAAAGATGATACTTCTAAGAAGACTACAACTTCCAGCACCCAAAGTCGCCCACGATGGTCCACATCAGCATTCCTTCAGTGAATTCAGACTCCATCTCTTCCTGGGCCGTCATACCCCCAACTGCTCAGGAATACTAAAAGTTCGCAAATTGGCTTTTTTGAGAAAGTAAAGAACAGGAGCTTGACCCTAATATAAAGGAGCAGGCTGAGAGAATCCAAAGAATGTTTAGAGGACACTTCTGGGAAGATGGCAGAGCAGTAAGTAGCCAGATTTGGAATCCAGACACTGGAAAATAACAACTTAGAGAAGAAAAGCAGGAGGAAGGTAGATCCTGGGAACCAGGAGGGCTCTGATGGGAAAAGTGGAGCCGAGAGAGGAGACAGAACACAATTCAGAAAAAGGAAGGTCAGTTTATGCTTTCCCCTTGATTCTTGGCTTGTCGTATAAGCAAAGAAGATTGAATTGACACAGACACAGTGAAATCAGGGGACTCCCGAAGCCTTCAGAGAGAAACACAGCAATGGAATGGAGCTATCATGCGCTGGCGTAGCTGGCGAGCAACTCAGTCCGACTACCTGCCACGTCCCTGGGGAGAGAGTTGGTCAGATGCCACTCTAGGGAGAAGCCATCTGAACCTGGACTCAGAGCAGCCACATCTCAGGGCTCCCAGTGGTGACCTTCCACAGGGACGGGACAAGGGACATCCAGAGGAGATGCTCAGGACCATGGTCAAGCTGGCAAGAGACCCCAGAGTATTATAAACTAACCAACTCAGGCCACAGTCACATGACTAGAGCCAGGGTCAGCCTCAGTTTCACTGTGTGATACCCCTGCCCAGCCCCAATCCTACTTCCTGTGTGCCAGTGAGGATCCAACACAGATCTGGGCTCTGGCTGCCTCCTTTGTTCCCCAGGGAGAAGGGACCCGTCTTATACTGGACACTGCCACAAAACCATAGACCTCAGAAGATAAGCACAGGCTCAAAACTCACAGAGAAATTTGTGGGGGTTTTGTTTTTTTGATCATTTCAGTGATTTTGTTCGGCTTTCACTTTTTATTTTTGTCTTTTTCTTTCTTTCTTTCTTTTTTTTTTTTTTTTTTTTGTTGATACCAGGCCTCATGCTTGCCGAGCAGGCACTGTGTCACTGAGCTACATCCCCCGCTGAGTTTGTGTGCGTGCAGATTGTTTTGGGGGTTTTTGATTTGTTTTGCTGTCCTCTCTCCTTCCTTCCTGTCTCCTCCAGTTTCCTCAGGCTTGAGTAATCTTCCTTTGTCCTTCAGCCTCGCTTCTAATCTCTTCTTTTATTCCTGTTTTTCCTCTTCTGTCTTTAAAATTTTTTTCCCTACATCTCTGGTATTTTTCTCCTACATAATTTCTTTTTTCTCCCTCACTTCTGTTTCTTGCCAGTTTTTTGTCCTGCCTTTACCCAATTCTATAGACACAAGTTTAAATATTTCAAAGTGTCTCATATAAAAAACTCAATAAATAATAAATAGATTGATAGATAAAGTATGAAATAAAAGATAATAGGAAATAAGGCAAAAAAAAGGAGAGGCTGGGGATTTAGCTCAGTGGCACAAGTGCTTGCCTTGCAAGCTTGTGGTGGTGAGTTTGATACCTGGTCCACAAAAAAAAAAAAAAAAAAGAAAAAACAGGGTATTTAATCCACTGTGGACAGTGTATCTAAAAGTGTCCCTTGACTTGGTACAACTGTCTTTGCCTTTTAGTCTGCTTTTCAATTGATAAGAATCCAGCAAAAAAAATGTATACATCAGAAAAAGAAAAGCTTGTATAAATATTTTAATACTAAACTTATGGAGACATCATGAGATTAATACAAGTTACCTTAGGCTTCTACAATTACAAGAGGTACTCAGTTACCATTAGCTTCCAGACATCTATTAGTGAGGCAAACTGCTGATGGATAGATTTTTTTGGTGGACTCTGTACATGGTAACTAGCTTTTCTAAGGTGTTATAAGCCAAATGGATCTGATGCTGAAAAGTTAAAAGGGGATTGGTAGGAAGAGGGAAAGATAAAATGTGTCATGTACATGTGTTGAATCCCTGCAGTGAATGCAATCATTATGTACTGCAAACACTTACTAAATCAAAAAATACTCAAATTTTTTTTAAAAGCTCCCCTGCTTGTAGAGTGGGCTATTACTCTTCCAGGCAATGAGCCACCTGCTCTCCATTGTGCACCCCTCCAGGAGAAGCATGAATGTTCCCTGCTCTGAGACAGGAGATACGGTGTCCCAGGCTGACTGGGGAAGTTCGCATGAGCTGTTAATTATAAAATCCTAGGACACGTGCACAGAACAGCTCCCAAAACCCTGCACACGGACTTCTGAGAACTCCGTCAGGTTTTGCCAGGACAGCCTAGAGCGGACCTCAGCCTGAGGAGCGGGTACCCCAGAAGAACAGCGGGCACTGAGCTCTCAGCTACTGTGCTCTCACGGTGATCGCCCCGCACTGCTCTTCCTACTTTCACTTGGCTCAAACTTGCTCTGTAGAATGTTTCTTTTCCTACGTTAAAGAAATGTAAAACCTGCTACCCTTTGCACTTGTATTGACCAGTTCTTTGCTCGGGACAGAAGGAACCTGGAAACCACCTCTAGAAGTAAAGTCCAGCACCTTCAAACTTCCAGGAAGTAATGCACCCCATTCTCTGAGTACCCACACTTCACTTTTGAGTGAGTCCTAAAATCTCTGCCTAACAAATCCATCCAATACCTCTTTTTTTTTTTTGTCTTTTTCATTTTTATCGGTACCAGGAATCGAACTCACGACTGCCTGCTTGCAAGGCAGGTGCTTATGCCGCTGGGCTAAATCCCCAGCCCCCAATACTTCTTACTTATGCACCCTGAAAATTCTTTCTCTGTACCAGGAATCAGTGAACTTACAATCTTTTCCAACAAAAAATGCGGCAGTTTCCTTATTTCAGTCTCAGGGACCTCAAAGACTCTGCCCACTGACAGTTGATAAATTCTATTATTAAAATAAAAAATACTTTTGAAATGCTATAATAAAGATCCAATCCAAAAATGGGCATCTGAGATGAATACGCACTTCTCAGATGAAGAAATGCAAATGGCAAATAAATACATGAAAAAATGCTCATCATCATTGGTCATTAGAGAAATGCAAATTAAAACCACACTGAGATACCATCTCACTCCTGAAAGAATGGCCAGGATCAAGAAAACCGACAACAAATGCTGGAGAGGCTGTGGGGAAAAAGGAACTCTCCTGCACTGCTGGTGGGAGTGTAGACTGGTACAGCCTTTGTGGAGATCTGTCTGGAGATTTCTCAAAAAGTTGGGACTGGAAATCCCATTTATTCCAGCTATTCCACTTCTAGGCATATTCCCAGAAGAACTGAAAGCATCATACCACAGTGATATATGTGCACCTATGTTTATAGCAGCACAATTTGTAATCGCCAGATCTTGGAAACAACCCAAGTGCCCATCAACTGAGGAATGGATAAAAAAGTTGTGGTATTTCTATACAATGGAGTATTATTCAGCTATAAAGAAGGATCACATTGAGATATTTATCAATAAATGGGCACAGCTTGAGACCATACTCATAAGTGAAATAAATCAATCTCGCATGTGTGAATACCGAATAGTTTCCCTAATGTAAGTAATGATTCAAATATATAAAAATATGTGGTAATCATGATTCCCCATTAGGTGGCCTTGAAGCCTTATAAAGTTTTCACTCATTAATTAGAAAGGCTTTATTCTGGGCTTCTTGATATGAAAATATTTGAAGCTAGAGTATATGAAGTTTTACCCAAATATTTCAAGGAAAAAGACACTATGGTAACTACTATTAAGTCAGGTTATAAGGTGGTGAAGAAACAGTCATGCTGTGACCTCTATTGTTATATTGTTATGTCCTGTTTTATCTCAATCTCCCCCTTATTGTTTCAAAAAAAAATTATTTAGTCATTTCTTATGTTTGTCTTAATTAAAGAAAAAATTCAAAAAAATTAGGATATATAAATAGTAACTCTTTTCGATTTCCTATTAACTTGTTTTGAAGTCCTGTAGTACTCCCACGATCTTGTTTTGACTGATTAGACTCTGTTCCATTCTATATGATAGTATCAAGTTTGAAGACATAGGCAACTACTTTGAAGACAATAAGATTCACTAAGATACCCATTCTGGTTTGACTATTGTCTTCTTTGGAAGTCCTGTAATGTTTACAATGCCTAAGTTTTATTGGTCTTGTTCTCTACTGTTTTGTCCAACTTTATAATATCTAATAAGATAGACAATTCTTTTTAAGGAAACAAGGGACAACGTTGATAACCATTGTTGATAAACTTGTACTCTGTTCTACACCATGTGCTACGTCTATCCTTGGTATTGACTGATAGCTTTGTTTTGCCATATTTGACTGTATTCTTGCCCCCCCCCAAGAAAGTAATAAGCACTAAGGAGTAATAAAATCCAAGATGTGTAAATTTTGTTGTAAAAAAGAGAGGGAAAAAAAAAAAAAGAAAAGGAGCTCTAACGGATATAACAGCAAGTGTGTTTGGGGGTGTTAAATAGCTGACTTTATCAATGTTTTTGGAACATTGAACACAGCTGTTTGCAGTCTCCCTGTTTGAATGTCCACCTTGTGTTCTTTGATACTGTGATTTGAGGAACTATTTTCAAGAAAATAGTGTGTAATCTACTAGCAGGTAATTTCTTACTGTTATGGTTTTTTGTTTTGTTTTGTTTTGTTTTGTTTTGTAGTTCTGTATTGCGTGTACCCTTACGCCGCTTTGGTTTGTTTTGTGTTTTTCTCTTTTTCCTTTTAAATAAAAAAAAAAAAAAAAAAAAAAAAGAAATGCTATAATACTAAACTGACAGTTGATAAATTCTATTATTAAAATAAAAAATGCTTTTGAAATGCTATAATGCTAAACTCAAACTCAATTTTACAGAAAAATGCACTAACAAACTACAACCATGATCTAGGTTGGGGGTGGTGGTACACACTTGTAGTATCAGAATTTAGGAGGCTAAAGCCGGAGGATCACCTTGAGTTCAAAGCCAATATCGTCTACAAAATGAGTTCAAGACCAGCCTGAACTGCACAGCAAGACCCTGTCTCAAAAAAAAAGGAGAGATTGGGAATCCTCCCGCTTTCCCCAAACACGTGAGACTTCAAGGGCTTGTAACTACTGCCTGATAAGCCTACAAATCATATTGTTTAATTTGTACAGTATTATTACCCCACCTTGATTTACACAATAATAAAAGAATATTTATGTATTTATACATTTTCATCCAAGAAATGTGAAATTTTCTTAGTGCATATTATTCTAAATGAAAAACAAAAAATTGTAAATCATTAGACTTACGTTTTTCCATTCCACTCCACGATCTTTGTAAAGTTAAGATAACTGTCTTCTCCGGTTAAGAAAACATAATCTCCATCATTAGTTCCATTTTTCTGAAAATGAATAAATGTGATACTTTAAAGTAACTATGGTAGTTAATTTTTATCACCTTCTCTAGGAAGCATGCGAGGCTGCTTAAACAAACAGCAGTCTAGGAGTTGTTGTGAAAGTGTTTAGCAGATATCATAAATACCTACAATCAATTAACTTCAAAGGAAATTACTCTCAAAATGTGAGTGATAGAGCTGGGTGTGTGGGGCATGCTTGTCAGTCACCAGGGGGAGGCTGAGGCAGGAGGATCCTGAGTTCCAAAACTCTGTCTCAAAAAAACAGAAAGAAAAAAAAAAGCAGGTGTGTGGGCCTCTTCCAGTTAGTATAAAAGTTTAAGAGTAGAAAATAAAACTTCCTGGAGAAGGAATTCTCTATAAGACTGCAACCTAGAAATTCATCACATGCTATAATTTCTGGGAAATAGTACAGGTACTAGTTCCTTTATAAGAAAGTAATAGACATAAACATTGAATACAGTCATTCTTCACTGAATGACCAAGTTCCATTTCAGCAACTAGGTCATTAATTGACTTGGTCACTAAATGAGGAGCTATACATAGCATGTACATTACAATATTCAGAACAAAGAAATGGTCAAAGGAAACTCCAACTTGATGACTCTGCACTGTATTATTTCAGGAACAGCAATGTCCATCCCCCAGACATGACAGTTATAAATCTGATGAGTTCAGTGACGTCAAACAAAAAAGCAAGCAACACAGAGAAAATTATCTGAGAAATACTGAGACAGGGCCGGGGCCAGAGTGCACGTTGAGGACTATTTGCATGACTCTTACAAATAGTACTGTAATATATAACAACATAAAACTATGGTACTATGAGCAAAAATTACAGTACTGTATAAACAAGGTATATTGTACAAAGGTATATTGTTTTAAGCTCTATAAACAAGAAGTATAAAACTCTACAAAAAAAGTCAGGTTTGGTGGCACACACCTATAATCCCTGCACTCCAGAGGCTAAAGCAGGAGGATCCTTATTAAGTTTGAGACCAGCCTGGGCAACAAAGAGAGCTCAAGGCCAGCCTGATGTGCATAGCAAGACCCTGTCTCAAAAGCACACACACAAAAAGTCCAAGTGGTGAGTTGTAATTGAAACAACAGTGCCCCTCGATCATAAATCCAACAGTTGTTAAACAGGTAGGTCATTAAGGGAGAAACAACTGTGTAACACTCAGCATTGGTTCTAAAATCTTGCATGAATTACTGCAGGAAACCCTTCCAACCACATGAAATGGTGTGGTTAGGTAGGGGCAGGGGTCTGTAAGCAGGGAGAGAATGAGGTAGGGACCTCATCAGTTTTCTAGCTAACCCTGACTGGGATTAAAACCTCCCTGGGCAGCAGTTTCAAGGACAGGGGTGGAGAAAATCAAAACCAGATATGGAAAGGCACGCAGAAGGCACAGGTGGCCCTGGAGCCCTCCAGAGGGAGAAAGAGCTGACAGGCAGAGTACAGGAAAGCCAAAGACACAAGCCAAGAAGGCAAAGGAGGCCCAGAGCGCCACCTCCAGTGGAATGCAGGGGAAGCAGGAGGAGAAGGGCTAACTTTGGAGAGAGCTCTTATTCAGTGTGTGCTCACATCGGCACACACACATACACACAGAGCGGTACTTTGGCTCATGCATTTAATTCTTTCCTTCATCCTGTTCACAAACTTAATTGGGTAAGAACAAAATCAAATTTCCCCCTAAGGTTAACATTGAACCTGACCATGCATTTGAATCAGTTCTCATCCAGAATCATGGAAAGAATTTAAGTTTGTTTTCACTATTGGGTCACTATATTATTACAGGAGCAGCGATGCTCGTCTCCCAGACCCGAAAGTTGTAAGTCTGATGAGTTCAACGATGTGAAAACCAAAAAGCAAGCTGAAAATTATCTGAGAAATACTGAGGTATTAGAAGGGCAGGCAAAAGCTGGGGGACAGAGTGTACATTGAGGGAAGCCTGGACTCTCTCTAGGGGAAGCCCCTGAACTTACTTCTAGAGGGAAGGTCCAGGCACAGCTTCACAAAAACCTGTGGCTCCCCAGAGCCCTGAAGCTCTTGCTCCAGCGGACTGGGACTTTCTAGGAGACCTGGAGCAGGACTGCGGGCTTTCGGGTTGGGGGGGTCTTCACACTCAGGACTCCACCCACACTGAGGCCCACCCACTCTCACAGAAGCAATGTCTCAAATTTCTTACTTATTTTTGTTTGAACAGCGTCTAAAGTTTGTACCCTTGAAGGCAAGGAATGACTGCCATCTACCACAGAGGAACTATGTGTTCAGAACAGGATCCTGGGACAGGCAGATCCTGACAATGATTATTCTAAATTTTTATGTATTTGTTTTTGTGATATTGGGGATTTAACCCAGGGCTTCCACACTGAGTGGTATTCTCAGCACTTTTATTTATTTATTTTTAATTCTGAGACAGGGTCTCACTAAGTCACTGTATTGCCCATGGTGGGCAAAAACTTGTGATCCTCCTGCTTCAGCCTCCCAAGTGCTGCGACTACAGATGTACACGATTAACCCAGCTAGTAACTATAAATTCAAAGATAAGCAAACTACTGGCAATCGCAGAGTGTACCCCTAATCTAACACTTTCTTCCTGGAGTTAATTTGGCCTATTACCAACTTCTCAACTGTCCATTTTACTAGGGCTCCCCCACCCTTTCCAGGAACACCCCTCTCCCCATGGTTTTTGAGACAGGGTCTCACTCAGCATTTCAGGCCGGCCTTGAACTCGCGGTGACCCCGCTGCCCAGCACTGGGTGCCCCACCGCCCCCACCTACCCGTGCAGCAAACCTCCAGCTCTCCAGGCCAGGACGGGCCTCCCCACTCACCTCGTAGAACAGGCCAAAATAGGGGGAGATGTCGGGTCTGAACGGGTGGATGAGCGACAGGAGCTGGTCCTTGTAGCCCCAGAGCAGCTCGTGCACGGGGCGGGTGATGAAGAGCTTCTCTTCGTAGGTCCTGAGCACGGCCTCGATGATGTCCCGGAGCAGCGCGTTCCGCGTCCACTCCATGGCCGTCTGCGGACAAGGCGTCGCTGTGGGGCTCGCTCAGCCCGTGCCCGCCCGCGCCCCCGCTCTGCAGGGGCCCCTGGCAAAAACAGCCATCCTGCTGCTCTTTGGCTGCAAATGGGGGCGAATAAGGCTCTCGGGTCACTGCCCTTGCTCTGTCATTTTGGAAGCCAGAGCTCCGCTTCTGTATCTGCGGCGGGGGTGGGGGTGGGGGGTGTCCCCCGTGTCCTGTGTCCCGTCCGGTCCCCCCCCCCCCCCCGCGCGCAGACCAGGCAGGAGCTCTTTAGACCGCGCTGGCATTGGTGGCCACGAGGTGGCGCCCTTCCCCTGGGCTGGGCCGGAGCTCTGGGCCTGGCATGGGCTCCGCAGCCCTGGGAGACGGTGTTCTCCGTCCCTGAGTCACCTTGGGCCGCCGCGGGGTCAGAACTGAGGCGGCAGCCGCCAAAGAGGTGCGGGAAGCTGAGAACGTTTCGGGGTTCTCAGGCTAGTACAGGATGTGTCTTCCCCGGTGCGGGGAAGGCAGGGTGGGCTCTAAAGGCAGGGTGGGCTCTAATAGCAGCCCAGGCTAGGCTATTTGAAAGGAAGAAATCAATGCATATATTTTGAGAATTTAAAAGACAACCTCTGCTTTCCCGAAAATAAGACCTAACCAGAAAAAAAATCAGCGTGGAAAACTAGAAATCACTAACGCCAGCCCCGATCAGCGAGTCCTGGCTTTACCTGCCTCACAGACGAGCCACGGGGCAAGACAGTGCTTGCTGCAGGTGGGCAGGGAGAGGCTGACCGGGCAGCGGTTTTGAGCTGAGTTTTCAAGGCGGATTGTTTTCCAGGTAGGTGTCATTATCAGGGAAAGGAGGAAATAGAAATCTGAACTAAGACGTGACAGGAAAAGGCTACTGCTACAATTTGTGAGACAAAAAGGCAAAAACGTTTTCAATTACAAGCTACCAAAAATCCCCATGTATAGGCACAAATGCTAATTTTCTACACATAAGAAATTGTGCAAACAAATGAAAAACTGCATTTTAATGTCATTGGGAAAAACTGGTAGATCTCAGGAAAAAATATGGTTCTCAATGAAAGGAGGGGAAAACGTGCATTTTTCTTTTTTTTCTTTTTACCAGGGATCGAACTCACAACCTCGCGCTTGCTAAGCAGGTGCATATGCTGCTGAGCTAAATCCGGCATCCCCCGTGCACTTTTCTTTTTTATGTATGTATATTTTGAATAACATAATAGCTCCTAAAGTAAGAGCATTGATTACCTTGCCTTTTCCTCTAACCTCCACAAATAATATTAAATAATATCAAAATGATTCTAGAATTCCTACTTACCAATGCAGGAATATTTAATGTTCTAATTAAATCAACTTTAGGGTCTCCAACAGATTGGTTTCTCTCAAAAACATACGTCTTGTTGCTAACAGCAGATATTGTTGTTCCATTGTCTCCAAACTGAATATTTGCCTTGTTTCTGATTTCCCTAAAAGAAAAAATACTTTATTTGAGAATAATATGTCTCCTTTTTTCAGTATCAAAGTTACCTCTTTCAATACAACATTCCCACATAGTAATCACATTCAGAGATTTCAGACACCAAGCCTTTATGATCCAGACAGCATGCTAAACTGTGGAAAGGAAAACTGGCCTGGAGTCTTCTCAGGAAACTGTTGTTTTTGCTCTTTTTCTCCCAGTCAAGGAGGTACACAAGTTAGGGAATCAAAGCCATTGAACTCTCTCCTGGGCTGTGGTTTGGTCCTGAAATACTTTCAGTGTTCTTATCAGTTCATAGATTTGGTTTAAATTTCAGAGTGTTTACCAGCATCATTTTATTTCTAACTTGAATTCAGTTGAAAATTCATCTGAAACATAACCAAGGACCAAGGCTTAGCAAATTAGAAGAGTTCACTCTGGTAATCCCAGCACTCAGGAGGCTGAGGCAGGAGGATTGTTGTGAGTTCGAGACCAGCCTGGGCTACAAAGTGAGCTCAAGGCCAGCCTGAACACATAGAGAGACCCTGTCTCAAAAAGACAACAAAGAAGAGTTCATTCTGGTTTCTGACATACAGTCCAGTTCTGTTCAGTTAGTTCCTCTAGACGAGGTCCTAGAAGTCTCTCAGAAAGCACTTGGCATAACATGGCAGGATAGCTGTGGTTGACACCAATAATTAAATATTTCAAAAGAGCTAGCAGAAAGGGTTTTCAATGTTCCCAACTCAAAGAACTGATAAATGCCAATTACCCCAATCTGATCACTATAAATTACATAAACATACTGAAATGTCTCACTACACCCCATAAAAGTATATAATTATATCAATTAACAACAATAACACATTTTTTTAAATTTTATTTTGAAAGTATACAACAGAACAAGTCAGAATAAAGCCAACTAAGATCGTACAGTGAAATTGGTACTGAACTTCACAGCAGGTTACCGGGATAACAGTAATAGGTATCACGGTATATTTTGTTATCTTTATAATAGTTGTTCTTTCAATCCCGTATATCAAAATGAGATGAAATATAGAACACTATAGAACTTATCAAAACAGAATATTGAATAGAGCAGTACCATTAATCAGAAAAGAGCAAAACAGTAATAAAAATATTTGCCTTCAAAGAAATGATAGAAGGAAGTCCCCCTTATTTGCTGTGGTCAGCCTCCCAGGAGATGCTCAGATTTCTGGTTCCCATTTGCTAATGGGCGGGGGGAGGGGGGCGGGGGGGCGGAGATAGGGGAAGTGGGATATTTGACTCTAGGCCATGTAGCAGTAGGTTCACTACTGCTAAGCAGGGAGGCAGAATGGTCATTTGTTTTCACAGTGTCCTCAGTTCCAACATGGTGTGGATCTCAGGAGACACTACTGGTTCTTCCCCTGGAAGGGCTGCAGTCTCAATGACACATATTTTTAAAAATACTTGGTATCCGGACTTGGTGGGATGTGAATGTTATAAGGGCTCACCTTGACTGTAAAGTGTAAGAGGACCTAACAGTTAACCAAGATAAATACTATTTTATGCAGTATTTATTAAAATCAAAATTAGGGCCAAGGGGCTGGAGATTTAGCTCAGCGGCATAAGCGCCTGCCTTGTAAACAGGCAGTCGTGAGTTCGATCCCCGGTACCAATAAAAACGAAAAAAAAAAAAAAAATTAGGGCCAAAATATTAAAAATAAAAAAAATATGAATATGCTAAGTAAAAACACGAGCTGGTCTTTTGTTGTTCATCAAATGTTTCAAGTTAGTCCTATCTGGTACTTAGTAGTGTTCGATAAACCCCAATCTGTCTATCCCATCTCTCCCTCTGGTGACCTCTCCTTCTTCCTGTACCATCAAGGGCTTCTCTGACATGGTAGCCCCTGGCCACAGGTAAGGGTTGAGATTTCAATTGTGGCTCACTGGAATTGAGGTGTATTTTAAGTGTAAAATACAGACCAGATTTCAAAAATAGTACCAGAAAAAGTTATCCCCTTACCTTTTTAATATTGATTATATGTTTGAATGATGCTATTTAGGTGTAATTAGTAAAACACAATATATTGTTAAAATAAACCACTAGTTTCTTTACTTTTAAAAATGCAGTACTTGGCTGGGGATACAGCGTGGTTGGCACAGTGCCTGCCTGGCAAGCACAAGGTCCTGAGTTTGCTCATATCTTTGAGAGCCTTCAAAGAGATTCCCTTCTCGTGAAAACCAGCCAGAAGCAGCTTCTCCTGCTTGTCATCAAAAAACCCCTCCTCCAAGAATCACAACCCAGTCCTTGTAGAGATTAGAACATGGAGATCAGGGGCCAATTGGGAAGTGTCAGGACCACATTAAAATCATGGCACCCTGACTTTAGGTCCAAAATAAGCTCAGGGGCCAGAGGTCAACTTTGCCAAGTTCCTGGCTAATGTGAAAAAGGATTGACCTTGCCAGATGTGGTAGCGCACACCTGTAATCCTGGCACTAGAGTTTGAGGGCAGCCTGGGCTACATCATGAGACTCTCTCAAAACAAACAAACAAATAAACATCAGTGCTCTTGATGAGGTTGTTTGTTTTCTTCACCCAAATCCTGGAAACCCAGAAGCCTGAATAATTGCAGACCTGGAGCCTGCTTCATTTATATTTGTATGTATTGACTCCAGAGGTGACTTTTAAATAAAATGTTTTCTTCATTGCTTACCCTGTAAGAACCTAAGCTTTAAGGGGAAATTGAACCCAAAAGCACCAACCACTTTAAATCTTGTAACTTGACTGAGTTACTCAATAAATTTCAATAAGGCAAAGATGAGGTTTTCCAAAACCACAAAAACAGTGATCCTTTTGGGAGGCAGACTGTGTCAGGAGCTCACAAGGCTGACCACCTCAGCAGCTCGGAGTCCTCCACCTGCCACCCTAAGATGTGACAGGCAGGGCCTTCCCAGAGCCCTGGCCTGAAAAGAAGATGGGCAGATGCAGCCTCCTGCTCTGCATCTCCTGCTCAGAAGACCCAAAAGCTGGCAAGGAATCTTCACCAAAACGGTACACAATCCTCCAGGACACCTAAATATTCCCTTCCCCAGCACTGTTTCTCTCTGGCAGCACTTGGACAGAAACCACACGCATTAGGGACTTGGGTAACAACAACAACAAATCTAGTGACCTAAATCTTCTCTCAGATGATCAGCAACCCTCAGTAGAAGCAGCAAGGCCCTAGCAGCAGACTGGGAGCAACAGAGACCAGTTACTGCCCTGCTGTAACTGGGATGATCAAAGAAACTGTCAGAAGCACACCAAAGAAACATCCAGAGGCCAAGCATAGTGGTGAATGCCTGAAATCCCAGCACTTAGGAGGCTGAGGCAGGAGGATCAATGAGAGGCCAGCCTTGGCTACATAGTGAGTTCAAGGCCAGCCGGATCTACATAGCAAGACTCCATCTCAAAAAGAAAAAAAAAAAGAGTTGAAAACTAAAATAAGTCATTCTAGGGATGGAGGGCAGGGCGGGCAGAGGAAGGAAAGAGGAAGTGAAAAGGACTAAGATGCAGGAGGTACCAACGCCCCAAGAAGAACGTATTCATTATCATCACAGACACATACTATTAAGGAACAACCTGTAGGTTTATTAAAGTAACCAGGGAACCATACCGTAAAGTGCCTGCACGCTCCTTGTTATTTATGAAATCTCAGATTATAGTTTAACATTTGTTAATCACAATGATGGCCCTAGTTATAAGAATGGCTGAGTTATGCCCCATGAATTATTTAATCAGGCAGGAGAACAGATGGTTTATTTCAGAAATAGTTTAGGAGATGAAAACCACAGCTGAGTGCAGGGAAACCGTGAGATTTTGTAATCCCAGCACTCAGCAGGCTGAGGCAAGAGGATGGCCGAGAGTACAAGGCCAGCCTGGGCTTCATGGTAAGTCCAAAGCCAAGCTAAGCTGCATAAAGACACCTTGTCTGGGGAGCAGGGGGGGGGGGGGGACACCAAAGAGTATAATTTTAATTATCTGGAAAATTAACATCTGTGCATCTAACTCCTACATGGTGCTGAATAAACTGACTAATTGATGAATCCTTACCTTAGTCATCTGGATTCCTTCATTTATTCAGTTCCCTCTTAAGAATTAGTATAAGAACCTTTCACCATAGCATCCCAAAAAATGAAATATCTAGGAATCAACCTAACAAATGATGTAAAAGACCTCCAAATTAAAAACTGCAGTACTCTGAAAAAGGAGATTGAAGAGGATATTAGAAAATGGAGAGATATCCCATGCTTTTAAGTAGGAAGAACTAATATAGTGAAAATGGCTACACTTCCAAAACTATTATACAGATTGAAAGCAATACCAATCAAAATTCCAATAGCACATCTCACAGAATTAGAAACAACAATCCAAAAATTCATCTTGAACCAGAAGAGACCTAGAATAGCAAAGGCAATTCTGGGAAACAAAGACAAGATAGGGGGTATCCCAATCCATGACTTGAAATTATATTATAAAGCTACAATGATAAAAACAGTATGGTACTGGGGGGGGGAGGAGACAACTCCAGGCACACTAAGCCACCTTATCTTTGACAAAGGTGCCAAACACATTCACTAGAAGAAAGTTTCTTTAATAAATGGTGCTGGAAAAACTAGCTCTACACATGCCAAAGATTAAAACTGGAACCTTATCTTCCACCATACACTAAGTTAAAATTGGAATGGATCAAAGATCTTAATATTAAAACAGAACATTAAATCTGCTGGAAGATAAAGAGCAGCTAAAACTCTTCAAGACAATGCCTGTAGGGAAAGACTTTATAAATAAAACTCTAATTGCACAAGAACTAACACAAAGAATCAACAAAGGATGAGATCTCATCCTTTTGAAAAGCTTTTGCACAGCAAGAGAAACCACCAACAGAGTGAAGAGATAGCCTACAACATGGGAGAAAATGTTTGCCAGCTATTCCTCAGACAAAGGATTATCATCAAGAACACAGAAAAAACTAAAACAACAACAAC